AGAGAAATGTTAGATGATATAGATTTCTGAAATAACTAGAGTTAAAGAGCTTGTTATAATAATTTATTCGTTTTTTAATAAAAATAATACATATATAATTTTTTTATATATATAAAATTATAAAAAATTTTTTTTATAAAAATAAAATTATAAAAATATTTTTATAAAAATTTTTATAAAAATATTTTTATAAAAAAATTTTTTTATGAAAAATTATATATTAATTTTGAAATACTTGCTGTCATTCAGTCAAATTACAAATACTGCCGAACATTTAAAATACTTGAACAGAACATATGTTGAAACGAAAAAATTTCTAAATTACAGGGAATTTCGAAAAACAAAAAAAAAAAAGAAATTATATTCAAAAAGTTAAACAAAACTCAACAAATTTTGATTTTCCTTTTTTCATTCACTTTTCAATCAAATCAACAGTTTTTCATTTTCTGGTAAAAATAAAGAATAAAATAGTTTCATATTTTCCAGATTGTGAATATTATGTGGCAGATACTTACTGTTGCCATGTGTAGTATTGTGTCTCAGTCTGCAGACGCACACTTACTTTGGTCATCCCACAATTCCCAATTCCGGTGTACAGTTGTGGTGGCATTTCTCCTGACCACGACACACAAATTTTGAAATCTAAACATGCGACATAAAAACTGGTGCACGTTCAATTGGCGGTTCGCATGCATAGAGTCGTGTGAAGTAACTACAAGTACTTTAACTAAATTTTTAAACTTGGGCAAAAATCTTAGTGACCATGGTCGAAGTGAGAAGGTCTGGAGCAGAATTTTCATCAAAATGGAAATCTGAAGCAAGCGCATAAACCAGCAATCCATAAAGCTCAAATGAATTATTTACAAATTCAATGTCTTCCACACTAGTATTCACAATTCCTGTTAAATTCTTCACAAAGCCGGGAAACACGCGATTTTCCCAAATGCTATCTGAACCATTTACCTCTATACTCCTGAGGTAACTTTTGAACTGATGCAGCGACCACATATTCTGTGTTGGTAAACGTTCGTCACGCCTCTCATCAATCTTGTACCGCTTCTGCACAGAATTATTCGTCAAGTGCACCTCTTCCCGCAGGTCTGTTAAGCTAAATTCCTGAGTAGAAAAACGCAAATAACAATCGTGATATAACCATACGCTCAAACATTTATCATTTATGGTCAAAAGCATATACATGCGTATATCAAATTTACTGCCATATATAATAAGTGGACGTTCTTTGTGGCACATGTAATATAAAATGTTAATAATTTGTTAATTTGTTACTTCAGTAATTTAAATAAATTATATCACGCACTTACCTATGTATTTTTGTACTATGTAATTTAAGACTAAGTCTTTTTTTGTGAATTCATATATTGACTCCAAATCTTGTAATACATATATGCCTATACCACGAGAACTATTTCCAGGCTTAACAATCCAAAGATTGTGATAACCATCCCATCTTAAATTAGGTTTTTTCTTCAGCAATTGCTTGAAGAGCATTTTAGCTATTCTGATTCTTTCGAACAGCTCTCTAGAGTTCATTTTCAATTTCATTTTATAATGAATAATTTTATTGGAGTAATTCAAAAATACTTCCCAATCATTTTCATCCAGTTCACTTTTAAAGTCGTCATGAAGTCTTTCAAACTGACGTATTTCCTCTTTGAGTGAAATTAGCGCGAAGTCAAGTGTTGTACTTGGTACAGTACCGTTGATGTTATCGTACAGATTGGATGCATTTTTCACATTGTTCAGAATATATGTTAAAAGTGAACGACATTGAGTTTGTCGATAATCTTTCAGAAAATAGTTCCATTCCTTATAATCTTGGTGTAATTTGTGGATCCGTGGATAATTCAATATGGTGTCATTATCTCTGCGGTACCACGTTTCCATTTCAGCACAGTTAGTTAGACCAATTTTAGAAGTAAACCTTAACCTTCTTCTGCTTCTTATACGATTTCTATAAGGTGCCGCTTCCGGGAACACCATTTCTCTGGTTCTCACTTGCCATACAAAATATGCAGGATACTTCTCGACTATTTTGGACATAAGAGTTCTTTCGTACTCATTGCCTCTTTCTGCACACTGTAATAGCTGTTTGTAAGAGAACATTGAATATTTGGCAATCGCTGTTGGGTGAACTTTTTCTACCCAACCACGCTGCAGTAATGCATCTCGCAAAGCGTCATAACCATTGGAAATTGTAAATATTTTACGATTTTTATTTGCTACCATACAACGGGTTTGATATAAGTTCAAAAGTTGACTCAGATATGCGTCCCTTTCAACATTTATAGCAACTGGCACAAGGTGACCCATACTTTTGTTCTTGAACTTTTTGCTCTTACGTTTTGTTTTGACGTCAATATTTGTATTAGCAGATGCACTAGCAGATAATTTTACTTTCTTCGGTGAGCTTATGTTACCTGTTCGTTCTCTTGGCGTTTCTTTTAGCATGGGATACTTCTCATGCAAGTGATTGAGATCTGCAGCGATTTCATTCAACAAATTTTGTATGGAGTCTTCTGAAAATTTATGATTTGATTTAGGGGATGAATCCATCCCAAAATTATTTGTTCTGTAACTTTTATAAAAAACTTACTATATAAAAATTTAACTAAAAATTATTTATCAAATAATATGGGTATTCCAACATAAAATTTTTAAGGATGTTCATAAAATCCGAGGGTGTACATAAATAAAAAATTAATAATATTCTCCTTTTTATTTTAACAAAATTCAAAGCATACTAGTTTCTTATATCCATCATACTATTTTATAATTTCTTAAAATGGTAATGAACAGTGGATTCCTAGAAATCACAATATCTTTTATAAAATACATGTAATATATATTATAACATATATATGAATGAATATATGAATATGAATGAATATATATATATATATATATATATATGTATGTAAGATATATTACATCTAACAAACGATAACGTGGCGGCACCGAGTTCATCTAACCGCTAGTATGCAACGGGCCTAAAAAGAATCGATTTCAGCGATCTGTACTGGTAGACTAGTCTAGGAATCCATAAACATCAAGTGGAAAATCAATGTAATTAGTTGTCTTCGGCTCGTAGCTAGTATGGTTAGTGTGAGCTGTTCAATATGCTCAAATGAACCGCTAAAACGGTGAAGTGATCCTGGATATAAATGGGCTATCAGTTGACTAGAATATAAATACCGAAAGCCAGCGAGTCAAACTAAGGACTGTACTGGAAAACTGGAAACTGGAAAAGCTATAATATTCACATCTGTAAATGCATAAAGACATTATGCATGCACCATTGCTAAAGTATGGCTAAGGTATATGATGAATGTCACCGTAAAGAATGGCCTAGATCAATTAATCACTAGTGAATGAATGAATACTGAAGCAGTAAGAATAGCAGTAAGTATAAAATTATAAAATTGTAAATAATTTTACCTGTATCCATTCAATAGACGAGTCGTCATATAAACATTGTAAATAATTCGATATGACTACAAATATATTTAAGGCCAGAAAATTTTATACGTTTTTTATATAAATAAAATAATAAAAATAAAAATAAATAAATTTGTTAATCGTTTAATATTGTATCTGACATCATATTTAATCAATGTTTACTGCATACTTTATTACTAAAAAAATAATTAATTTTTAAAAATCAGTTTAAATCACAACATTTCAACAACAATTAATTTAACAACAGGAGTAATATTTGAGAATAATCCTTCAATTTTCTAAACCACTGACATTGTAGAAAATGTCTGGTTTGCATTCTAGAACCACTAATCAACGACGACCAACTGTCCCCATTGACCGCATTAAATCTGATTTTTACATATTTAGGAGATATTAGCTATTCTTCACTGAGTATTAAGAAAAGTCCAGAAAGAGGTTACATGATGTCATTCATAGAATTACCTCAATTTCAGTTTGGTTTTAGGAATAAACAGCCGACTATTGATCCAGTTAATCGAGTAATTAAAATGGTTACAAAAACATTTGAAGAAAAGTAATACTGTCCTGCAGTGTTTATGTGCGTATCCTAAGTACTTGATAGTGTGTGGTGCCAAGACCTTATATACATACTCGTACAAGATGAGCAATATGCTACCGTCTAATTTTTGTCAACTCCTTGAGTCATACTTATCAGAAGGAATATTCAGGGTAACATATGAAGAATATCATTCGGACATATATACTATCATAACTGGAGTTCCAGAGGGTAGTGTACCGTGTGCTATTCTCCATATTCTCTATACAGCTGATATACGTACAACACGAGACACATTCGTATGTAAGTTCATCTATGATACTAAAGTAATGGCATATAGACACACAAGCAGCGGCCACATATAAACTGCAGGGAACATTGGACGACGTACAAGCAAAAATTTGTATATATATCTAAATGGCACACAAGTTCCGCAGGCAAACTCAGTAAAATACTTTGGGTTACACAATGATAACAGACTAAAGTAGAAACATCATGTTAAACAAAAATCTGACCAAATCAAGTATAAATATCGACAAATGTAATGGCTAATTGGACATCATTCTCAACTTAATCTATATTGTAAAAGGCTAATTAATCTATCTGTCATGAAACCGATATGGGTGTATAGTATACAGTTACGAAACAATTGCACTGAGACATCATATAGCGAAGACAAAAGAAATATCCGCGTATGATAACAAAGACATATCGATATAAAATAAACCAAGATATACATAAAGACTTATAGCTGTCATAGAAATCAAACAATAAGTAACTGATAGGCATGAAAAACGACTACTCAATCATACCAATATAGTAGCTATTCAACTGCTGGATATTACCAATGAACTGGGAAGGCTAAAGTGAACAAAACCTCATACGTTAATATAGATAATATTATATTATAAATGATTTTTATGAGAACTAAACACTGGTTCAGTAAACCCGCACACATCTCACTTAATAACTATTAAGTACACTTCAACAAAAGTACAAAATTAACATAGAGTTAAGATTGTACTGTTCATATACAGTTAAGTATGATTAACAAAAAAAAGAAATTCACAGAATTTAAGGAAAAATGTGCCCATTAGTGTTAGCTTAAAAGTCCTCACCTGCAGATTAACGTCCGCAATTTAATTGATCTATGTTATGTATCTATGATCTATAGATCACATGTCTATTTCCTTTAGTTAATCACAACGTAAGAACAACGAAACTAAGTTCACAACAATTTCACATCGTGTCTTATTCCGGTTAGACTCTAAGTACGCCTATGAAACATTGTTAACAATATGCCTGCCGAAGTAAATCAATGATACGCAGCATGCAAGCAGCAGTGCTTATCAACAAGCACTAAGAAATTACACAAGCAATGTACATTTGACAAATTTTTCATATTGACGATGCAGAATTTTAATATGAAAATATGATTTCGTCTCATATAAAGATTAATGTTGTTAATGCTATTTAATTAGAGATCCGTGCCCACCGTTGATCTATATGATTATTAAATTTCTCTAGTATTTTAGTTTTAGTTAATAAATTTCTTTAAAACATAAATGTACACCATTTTTTAAATTATTTGTTTTTCTAATACAATTCAGCTTATGTTTGAACATTTATTGTAATGCCATATCAACGCTTGGACACATCGGGTCAACAGGGATTTGGATTAAAACTAAGGAAATTATTATTTATTATTTTAAAGTATGTGCACATAGAACTCTCATCTCCTGTGTCGCTGGCTGTCCAAACAAGCATATTGTTTGTGTTTTTATTGTTGTTTCTTTTATTATTGTTGTTGATGACTATGATTTTGTTATTGTTTCGCATATGAAATGAAATTGTTTCGCCTGAAACACGTTGGCATATGCAGTCAACTAGCACATTTGGGCGCACAAACAAGGAATAGGGCAGCTCAGCCAAGAGTAAAAGCTCCCATATGCCCATGAGTGGCATAAGGCAAGCCACACGTTTTGTTGAATGCTTTTTATTGGCTTCAGGCGACATTCTTGTTCCCATTTTTAAGGTTCTTTTTTTTTGCTTTTTTTTTTTTGTTTCATTTTAAAATATTTTACATTTTTACCTTTGTTGTTGTTATTATATTATTATCAAGCGATTGTTGTTGTTGTAGCATATCTCGGTCCTGCTGTTGCCCATCACCGTCACCGTCATCGTCATCGTCATCGTCGCCGTCATCGTCATCGCCGTCGTCATCGTCATCGTCATCCTCATCATTATTTTATACGGTACTGCAAATTTGAGGTTCTTAAATGTTGTTTTAGTGTAAGCAAACTGGCTTGGCTCTACCTTTCGGTAGGTACGAGTACAAGCAAAACGTTTCAACCAAGTATGTTCAACTTTTTGTGTAAATATTTTTTTGGTCCAGTTTTTCATACTTTTAATTGGCACAGTATGGCGTCACTTGTGCTAATTCCTCAATATATTTCTTTTTTTTTTGGTTAATAATATGTACAATTTCTTGTTGTTGTTATTCTTTTATTCCATAGCTACTTAAATTACATCAATTTTAAACAGTAATTTTTTAATGAGTAAATTCCTTATTTTTTCTTAATTCCATTAAACTAATTGGGTGGTCCAAATATTAATAACATATAAAATTGACATTCTTTGATTGATATACAAAACTTGATGTCAAGTATTTAATACAAAATTATCAAGAATTTTTTGCAGCAATAAAAGCTACACGGGTCATCAGGTTAATTGCGTTGGAGAGAATGTAGTATCGCGTCAATGTTTAGAATAGTACGGCGGCTAAATCTGTATGTCCTGGAAGGAGATTGTGATACACTTTGTATGTTGCGGAAGGAGATTATGACACATTTTGCGTCATGTATATCACAATTTGCTAGAGAGATTGACTTTTCCGAACTTTTTTCTTCATCCAAGCGAGAACTGAGCGAGAACTGTCCACAAACCAGCGAGGGCGACTCTAACAGTGATCGAGCGTTTTTAGGGAGGTATTTAGTGAAACGGCTGGGAAGCTTAATGGGCCACTCGCTAAAGTACAGTTCACGACCATGCAAAATCCCAATAACATTAAGATATGCTTATGCCAAAAAAATTTATCAAAAGATTCAATCCTGTTATTACAAGAAAATAGATTATTCTGTATGAGCTTCCACTATGTATGTTGTCACAAAAAATAATAGTAGTATTCGCATTATAGACAATTATAAGCCTACAGTTAACCCGCAAATGATCATTGATGAACACCCAATTTCGAAAATGGAAGATAATCAAACAACTGGAAAGTGACCGCTGTTTAAAGAGAGAAGACTACAAATCGGCAGAAGCGAATTACGTGTTGTCATCAGGGTGCTTGTCGTTCGAACACCAAGTCATTATCCCTTCACATTATAGAGAAAAATTACTGAAGAACCTACAAGTATTTAGTAATGTTGAAGATAAAGGATATTGCTCTTTCTTTTATATATTGGCCAGGAATAGACAAAGTTATTCAGAATATGACCAAAAAGTATGATGGCGAGTAAACCGATGAAATGTAATAGTCAGCATTGCGAATACTCAATTTTTTGAGATTACAAGGATTGTACCAAAGATTGAACACGTAAGCTGTCAAATTGAAAGCTCAGAGTCGAATGTGACTTTTATGTTCGCACATTTTTCTGGAGTTTTCTTGATTTACAATGAAAGTTTTATTAACAAATTAACTTGCTGTGTTTATATTAGAATGAAATCATAAATCAGCTGTAGAGTAATTGAATTAATTAATTATATTTTTTACTCTTAAATGTTAAATTTCAATACTGTTTTTTTCAGAGGCAAGATTAGCTCAACTTTACTTTTTCTTCTCTTCTTATCTTTTGCTTCTCCAAACTTTGCTTTCATTTTATTATCTTCTTTACCCTATTACACTACTTTATCTATATATATTTATAAGTACATATGTTTCTTATAAATCTCTTACGTATTCCATTAATAAAAACAAAGATTTTATTACTCACTCTCACTTTCTCAGCACGTTTGTTAACAGCTCAGCTGTTGTTTGTTTACATTTTACATATAAAACATATGACACATATTTCAAACTGTGGTTATTTCCCTTGTGGGGAGATTTAATTTTCAGGGTTACTTTTGACATTTTTCACCTTGAATTAGCTGATTTATTTTTAATGAGCTCATTTGTATACAAGTACTTTGTATTGTAAGTCATTCTGATTAGCGGTTACAATAAGCATCTAAATGAAACAGTGTGAATGTGCTAATACTAAGTAAGCAGTGGAGACATATTATTAAATTAGTTGATTTATTTATAATGAGCTCATTTATTAGAAAGCACTTTGTATTGTAAGTCATCCTCATCAGTGGCTATAATAAGCAAAACTATCTAAATGAGACAGTGTAAATGTGAAATTTTACCAACATATGAGTATAAATTTTTTTTCGTACTGTTTCTTATATCAATTTTTCTTTAAAAAAAAATTAACTAATTATTTTTTTAGAAAATCGAAATTTCCAAATAAAATTTAGAAATTAAATTTTTG